GTGGCCTTGGTGGAAGAGATCTACAGAGAAACTCTTTTCATTAGTTAGTTGAGTAGTGTGGAGAAAGTTTTCCGGATTCCGTTCACTCCACATCATATATGTACCAACCAATCAAAATAAAACACGTGGATACTCTATTGTGTAATTTCTGCAAAATTTTGGGGAATATTTATGCTCACCATCATTTAGTGTGGTGTATGTTCACCACCATATTTATCACCGTTAAATAAGTTTGAATTTTGAAATTCGTGTAGTAAATAGGCACAAATCTCGAAATTCAAACTCATGTAATGGTAATAACTAAGGTGATAAATATACATCACACTAAATGGTGGTGAGCAAAAATACACTTAAAATTTTGAAGGTGGTGGGCCCGACAAAAAATTTCTCTAACCTTCCTCTGCCGTCTCTAGTTCTCGTCCTTCGCTCCAATGGCTCCAATCTCAGTAGTGTGAGCTTTAATCCGCATCGTTAATCGTGTATCTTTTCTGCATAAATTTATGTATGCAACTAAATCTCATATCTTCGAGAAATGCAATCAACAGTGTGTTTTAAAGTGCTACATACATTTGTTGCAACTTGCATTACCTATGAAGATTCGATGTATGGGCAATGATGGTGAGGATGGGCGGAGTCAATCTTCTAGAAACCCTACCATGCATGTATTATTATATGATACATAGATTGTATTATATTTTTTTATCAAACATATAAGTTTTTACAACCAATTACTAGATTTTGCTTGGAAACCAATCAAGGGTAATGGGATAAATGTCGTTAAAGCAAGATTTGATTAATTGGTTTTATATATAATGTGATTATGAGATACAAACTTGGGAGAAAATGTGTAAAATAAGATCTAGTAAGACTTGAAAATATACTTTAAAAAAAGATATAGAGTATTTTGACTTAACAGAACACTTACACAAAATCGAGATCATTGGTGTTCTAGGATACATATAACCGACTCCAGTTAATAGAATAAGGCCTTTTGGTTTATGTATATATAATGGTGGGTATAGCCATGACTTGCTTCCATGTGATTGCAAAGTTCTATGAAATTTGGAGGTTCCCATATACAGATTTTTATTTATGTTCTAGTCAATTGCTTGCAAAGTTGGATATTCATATATAAAATAGAACCATCCATATTCTATAAATTTCTTATTTGAATATAGTTTATGTTTCTCTAGTTCTAATTAAACACTTTACTTTATTGAAGGAGATCTAGTGACCCGTTTGTCTTGAGTTCATAATTAAATTAAATCATCACTAATAGAGGACCAAAATAATATCAAAATCTTGGTTCTTTCTTACTTTCCTGGCCGTTGATTGTATGTAGATGATCAAACAAGAACCGAAAACTGAAAGAGACATTTGCCTACAAGATAACATTGAGAAAGACAATTGGGTCATGGCGCCCAACCAACTTTTATATCAAAGTTTGAGTGGTAGCTGTGAAGAAAGTTAACACTATCACAAGGGCAGGTGGTGGTAAAACTGTAACGCCTTATACTATTTTGTTTACTTATTTTTGTAATATTTAATGAATAGTAAAATATAGGAAAACTGGACGTTTAATTTACAGAAATGATCATTTTTCATCAATCATTTATTAACAACACAACGATGAACATATAGACAATACTACAATGATGATATAATAAACAAAGGAAAACTAATGAAAAATGTTTCAAAACTTTACATTTTAACCAAAAACCATCTAATAACTTTATTTAATGATAAGGACAAGAGAAAGAGAAGAAAAACAAAAACAAAAAAACATAGCTCAGCACGTGCAACACCCACACCCATTCCCTTTTCTTTGTAATATGCTTTGTCCAACTTCATTCATTCCTTTTAAAAATTCTACCATCATCATCACAGAATCTAACATATATCAACATGAATTAATTTCTTTTAGTTGCTCCTGTGTCACTCTTGCATGCAGTGACGCAGATATCAAGATTTTTGCAAAAAAATTCTATTACCATTAGAATTTAAATTTCGAAGTACCATCTTCTGCCTTGTCCTTTGAACCGCACGAAAACCTGTTTTGACTTTCCTTCATCGTCCAATTTGTTGACTGTAGTCCAGTGGAGTCCAGAGTAATGTCATCATGATTAAAAGGATTAGAATCATGTTTATGGCTTATAGGTAATTGGCCAAACACTGGTTCTCTGTGAAAGTACATCAAAATCATCAGTGCCAGAGTAATCTGAAAACCATATCATTCATTTTCTTCCTAATTGCAGATGAGTAATATTGAACTCACTATTTCACGAAAAACTCATATGGAGGCCCAATCGAGAAAATAGCCCTACGCAACTTAACATAAGATCATAAATAGCCCTACAAAAGTTCATAAATAAGATGTCTGCTGCAAGAGTTTAATAGCAGAGTGGTCAAAACCAAAAGGAAAAATAACCAGGAACAAGTTTCATGGTTTACGATTGAGGAATGTAGGAGAAAGCTTAAAAGACACAGCAAGTGCACGCCATTTTGTTGATTATACCAGTTTCACATATATAAACACATTTATTTGTGTTTATATATAAATGTGTTCATAAACAGTGTAGTAAGTTTCATAAACAGTATAGTAAGTTTCATAAACAATATCATAAGTTTTCATAAACAGTGTAGTAAGTTTCATAAACAGTGTAGTAAGTTTCATAAAGTGTCGTAAGTTTCATAAACAGTTTGTGTGAGGACGAGCGGATCCGCACGTCAGATTGTTTTTTTATTAATTTTTTTAATATTAAAATTATGTCTTTTTCATTAAAATTTAAGTTCTTTTGTCATTTTTATTAAAATTTAAGGGGTTTTCATTAAAATTTAAGTCTTTTTCATTAAATAAAGTTATAGCATGGTTTTTTATTAATATAAACTTAGCCCAAACCCTTTTCATGAAAGTTCCCAATAAAAAATGACCATTTCAGTAACAAACTGTCTAAATATATTTATAGTGGTTAATTGTCATTATATATATACATGGGATAGGATCAAGAGACAAATATTTTTACAAATACTTTTACACTCTCTTTAAGCCTTTTTTTTTTTGAACAAACGATATTATCTACACTAAGGGAGAGAGGGTATGCTTAGCCTCACAATGGGCTAGCAATAATGTGGTCAAATTCGCCTTTGGCGAGAATTGAACCTAAGACCTCTCACTTACAAGTGAAGAGGAATACCACTAGACCGTAGTACTGAGTGATCACTCTCTTTAAGCCTTTTGATTACATGATATCCAATGGTTCTTATTTATTCATTAAATGACATAGATACTTAGGTGGATTTTAACTAATATTAAAGATAAAATAAAACTGAGAAAAAAAACATAAAATCTGAAAAATTAAAACTAAAATTAAAAGGGGAAGAAACCTTATTTGTACGCAGTCATCCGTCTCCCCCTTTGCGGAGTGAGGTGCAATATTCTAACCCACAAGACATCTTAGACATGCTTGCCAATTTGTCAAAATCCTTAATTCTCAGTTCACGGAGATTGTGGTTCTTTTCCCCCATCCCTACCGGCAGACAAGTGAGCTCCTTAATACCATATATATCGAGGGAAGTGAGAGTGGTTACTCGACTGCATATATTTTCTATTGGCATGGCGTTACCAACTTCCCATATAGCCATTTCCCTGAGGGATGGAAAATGAATGGGAGCACTTCTTGTTAAGTTTTCTATGGATCTGAATTCTGAACCCAATTTACACTTATAAATTTGGCCGTTTTGTTCTTCATGCCTTTAAAATGGGCTGTCACTTCTTAAACTTGGGTTTCTAGGTGTAAGAACGAGCCATAATCAAACTTAAATCATGGGTACTAAAAGATGATGCAGAGCACACAAATTATCATGTTCTTATCCATGGATAAGATAAAACGTGCAAAAGTAATGCTACACTTATAATATTTTAGTTTTGTTAAAAACAAGTTTAAGGGGAAGATACGCTACCTCATTCTAGGGCAATGACATATCACAATCTTCTTTGTGGACTTACATAGGGGGTCTTATGCCCTTTTTTTTTGTTTTTACAGATCGCCCACCCAAAATATTGCCGGTATCAGGACTTGAATCTAGACCTTGGTCTAGTGAAGAGAACTATATTTACCAACTCATGTGTTGGTCTAGGAACTACTTACTCTAAGATAGAGTATTAGGTTCAGCTCTCATGAATTGTGAGTTGGATACTTTGTTAGTTATTGTGTAAATTAATTCAACCTCACCGCTAATATCGTTGTACATATAAATTATTTAAAAACGAGAAAATTTGATATAAGTTCAATTTTTTGAGCCAATATTAAGAATAGTTCATTTTGTCAAAATATGTTCGATCCTTTGAGTTTAGGATTACTTTATTATCAATAATTATCTATTTAATGATGAAATTTATTGTAGGAATTAAAACTCTTCCTAATTATCTCTTTAATTATTTATTCTTATTTATTTTTGTTATTTCTTCTTCTTCTCTTCTTGCTCTAAACCCGATTCATATATGTTATTTATTCTTCTTCTTTCTTCCTTCAAACCCCATTCATATATTTTATTTTTAATTTTTATAATCAACCTATATCACAAGTTAATTGTATTTATCTACCTTTTAGTTAGGTTCCATATCTCGCTAATAAGTATATTATCCATGTATGTATTTGTTCCTTGAGTTAGGTCGTATGTTCTTGAGGTGAGTTTATGCTAGTATATTAGTATTTTTGTTAACAAAATATTATATAGATTAAAAATAAACCAATTTTAAAATATTCAAAGTTTAAAATAACAAACAAAAAATGCATGAAATTAGAAAATTTTAGTTATTTTAATAGTTAAAAATATGTAAAATTGGTATATAAAAAATAAAAGTGAAGAAAATGTAATACTGAAATTAACCTAATAGCATGTTGATTTTTTAGACCCAGATCTAATGCCAAAAAAAAAAAAAAAACCATTAATGCACTACTTTGCTCTTTGAATAAGCCAACTTGTAGAACAATTAAAGATGGTGCAATATTTGTTTTATATTTTCATAGAGACGATTATATTCCAATTACAACACGGGCAAAACTGTTGCACCATATGCAACATGATTCTTGAGGTCTGTTGCAGGGAGCCGATTCAAACTACTGCGCCATATCAATTTTGAAATGCTTAATTTACCATCTGTAGAATCCATCATAGTAGTACTGCACAGCTGGATACTGTGGATAGTTAATATAGCTTGATGACCACTGAATTGGCTCAGCTGGCTGTTCTTCCGGTTTTTCCACTTCTTCCGGTTTTCCCACTTCTTCAACACTTATTATGGTGGCAAAGCCAAACTTCTTCTTCAATGATTTAGCCAAGTCAACGGCATCAACTCCGTCTCCGATCACCACCACATGCTCTTTCTCTACTTCTATGGACACTGTGCTCACACCTGCTTAATCAGTGATTCATCATTAGTTGATTAATTAAGTAGTTTTCAATAATTCATATCATTTCGATACATCACCCGATTGCTTGATGATTTTTATGATGCATACCTTTGGCAACTGCAGCAATCTTCAAGGCCTTGGTTCTGCATTTCTCGCAGTTCAGCTGCACCTTCACGACTATCTTTTGCTGCATATACAAAGATCACATATAGTTGAAGCCCTTTTGATTTGGCTTAAAAAATGTAAAAATTTTAAAATAATAAAGAAAACAAAGTGATTTCCAAATACTTTTTTCTCTCATACACACTCCTTGGGAAGTTTTAAAGGAGAATAATTAAGAGACAAAAAAACATGAGTGTGAAGAAATCGTTTCTCTAAAAAAATGAAATACTTGAGTGTAAGTTAATTTTAAAATAATAAAGAAAACGAAGTGATTTCCGAACACTTTTTTCTCTCTTACACACTCCTTGGGAAGTTTTAAATGAGAATAATTAAGAGACGAAAAAACATGACTATGAAGAAATCGTTTCTGTAAAGAAATGAAATACTTAAGTATATAAGTTATATATGAACAAATGAAAAAGCTTACCTTCATGTTCGGGAACAGAAAATTATTCTTATGAATCTATGAAATGTTTACTCTCGATTTCTCCCTGAGTTACTTGGATGCCACTTAGAAACCGATGGGTATTTATAGGAGGTTAATCTTCATACAATATTACTTCTTGACTTCTTGTTGACTTGCGTGCATGTCCCCACCAAACGAGTATCATGAAGCAGGGTTTTTAATACATACAAACGATCATTTGCTTGGAAACCAAGATTTTCACACTGTACCAAGTCAGACACGGACACGGTATGCATTTAGTTCTCTGGTTTAGCTGCAAAGCTTAACATATAAGAGAAAGATATTGAGTTGGCAAGTCATCGTATAAGTAAGTTGGCGGTGCTATCTAACTTAATGATTGGGACATTCTACATTTCATATGGAATTTGAAAGCTTAGTGTTGACAAAACAAAGAATACATTGGACTTCAGGTTTGAAAGCTTTTAGTTATAAAACTAAATGTTGGTTTCAGATAATTGTGGTGTTTTTTTATTTATTTAAAAAACAGCTTATTAAAAAAATCTGGGACATCATTTATGTTTGGTAAAAAAAAAAAAAGTTTTATTTTTTTATTTTTTTAACCTGTCATAAATGATAGTAGAAAAAAAAAATATATATATATATATAAAAACAGAAGCAGTGTTTACCATACTTCTAAAAAAGGGGGTTTTAAAAAAAAAACAATTCAAAGCATATTAATCAGTGTTCATTTAATGCAATTTTTAAATGGCAAGTATACCGCCATATTTTTTAAAAATTACAATCTTTATCCCTACATTATTCTTTTGACAATTATTATATCACATTAAAATACCATATCCCATTTAGTCATTTAACGTATTCACTTCAATTTATATAAAAGTTTACCAAATACTCAGACATTGTTTTTTTTTTTTTTTGTTAAAAGCACTTTTACTGAAAAAGTTTACCAACACTTAAACAACTTACAGTTGTTTATTCTCACATGATAGCAAAAACAGTTTTGTTAAAAAGCACAGTAGAAGCAGTTTCTACATTCCACTACAACCACAATAACTGAAAGAACAAAAAAAATATAAATTAATTCCAGGGTTTGGAACAAGTCTGCGCATTTGGTCAAGAACAAAAGTGTCCTGTAATTTCTTATGGAATTGCCGATGAACATATCGTACGGCATAGGAACCGTCTATGCCAGTCAACTCAGGCTAAGACTTAGATTTGTGAAGGGCTTTATGTGATCGCTTACAAAAACATTACCACAAGCTAAAACTTTCCCCCAAAATTACCTGATGAAGTTTTTATGTAACCGATCACCGAAACTTTACCACCACAAGCTAAAATCTCAAAACCCCAAAATCATTTGTTCAACAAAGGAATAGAGAGAAGCACAATTGTCAAGTACGTTGTTTTGAATTCATGCATTTTATCCTGATTGATCATTAGCCCTATTTTGAATGCATGCTTCTATCAATTGCATGTCAAAAAAAAAAAAAATACTACATCGAAAATATTTCAGGTACACATAAATTTCACGTAACGATGATATACTCCCACCATGAATGAGTGAGAATGAGATCGAGGTGAAACATCACCGTTGTAGATCTGTGCCATAAACTCTTGAAATTTTTCATTTGTCATTTTTTTTATCAAAGGTAGTGTAAACTTAAACATTATTCTTTCTCTTAAATATATATTGATGGGTAAGGTGCGTGAATGTTGATAACAGTATAACAAGCTTAACAGCTTGTGATCCTGTGGTTGTGGTTGTGATGGTGACAGGTTTAATCATCTTGTGATCCTTGTAAAAGCTTAAGGAGTAAGCAACCTAAACCCTGCCTAACCGCTAGTCTGCTCAGGCCTCCACCTAAACCCTGCCTAACCGCTTAATAATACCATTACCTGCTGTTGACGAGTCTCAACAGGAGACAAGCTATTTCCCCAGGTTAAAAACCTAGGTTTCCACACGCTTAGTTAACGCCACTGGAGATTACTCAAATTAATTCTTTAGTAAAATCCAGTTGACGTTTACTTTGATTTTCTAGTGCCTCCATCTCCTCATCAGAATGCCTTGTAATTGGGTGTTCAAAGTCACGCACCCCGCAGATGGTTCCAGACTTCCAGTGGACGTTATAAAGCCCGTCTCGTGGGCAAAGGATATTGTCACAACATGGTTTTGATTAGGACAATACATTCAGGCTTCGTTTGGCAGCTCGGACTGTACCGACTATTTCAGTCGGATAGGATAATTTGTCATCGAATAGTACTGACTATTTAGTCGAGCGTACTGACTATTTAATCGGGCGTTTGGTGCAGTATCGGATTAAAAACTCAATTTATCTTGGACTTGTTTTTGTCCGTAATTCTTCCTCATATTTCTAAAAGTTACTGCTGCACAAAGAATCAAAGATTATCATGTTCATTTACTTCCTCAAAAGGAGATTGAAGAACATTTATGGCACTGAGTTTCATAATTTAAAACTAGCAAGAGAGATGAAAAAAGAGTCAGCTTGATTTTGTTTTCAACGACTTGGCTAATTAATACCGATGATTTGGAGTGTATAAGTTATTCGGCGTACGTCGTATAAAATAGGCCGGACCGCATAAATAATCCGGTGCTAATTTAATACGAAATGACACAAAACACCGGATAATATTAAATAGTACTATCCGGTGTGTTATCCGGCATGCCAAACACGCCATCAGTCTCATGGTCAAAACTGCCACCATTCACATAGTTACTGTTTGGTACGGGGAATGGGACGGAACAAAGTGGGATGGAACGTGCTTGTCCTAAGTTTGGTGCGCTTAAGACAGTGGGACACGTTGTCCCACATAACGAAATTTGATTAAATTTCCATTTCACCTCTTTTCCCTAGAATGACTCGTTCCACCGCAGTGGAACACAAAATTAGAAAATTTTAGGACAAAAATGCCCTTATCTTTTTCAATATTTACACCATCCAAATCATAAAACAAACCCTAAAGGTCCAAAAAAATAATTCCCTACACTACCTTTTTGGACCTTTGTATTTCAATCTTTAGCCTTGTCTTCCTCCCAAAGGTCCAAAAAGGTAATTCCCTACACCACCTTCACTGTAATGCCATCGGATTTGTGTTGTGTTAGTGTTATACAAACTTTTTCTTAAACTGCCCTGTGGGAAAGAGCGCACAGAAGGTGTTCGACAATTTGCCGCAATGAGATAATTTTCAATTAGAGCGTGCATTTGTTATATAGATTTAAATTTTCAGATTATACTTAATTGAGTTAAACCCTTTTGTGCTTGTGACTAATGGGTATGCATAAAGTTAGAAGCTTTGTGTAATATACAAGTGGTTGAAGCAAGATGGTATTTGTTATGGTTGCATTTGATTTGACCCTTTAGCTTACTTTTAATTTGTTTTTGAATTAGGCTGTTACAATTTTCAGTGGGTTAAGGCCAATAGCATTACTAGGTGTGAGAAAGAAGCTCTGAATTGTAGCGGAAAGTTGTAGAACAGACTGCCGGTATTTTCACTGTTGGCGGATCGTTGGGATTCTGGATCCTTTGCAGATTGCATTACGGTTTGTTCTATCAACATGCTTTCTCTATTCAACTCATTGTTATGTGCTTGATCATAATAATCCAATGCCAAGTTTAAGCCTTAGACAAACTTGCTTTTTCGGATGGTTTTGTTTTTCCATGTTGAATACTGTTGGAATTTTTGGATCGTCGGGCTCGCTCCACTTTAACGACACCGATATTGTCCCCAATTTGCCCAATCCGTCAGGTGTGAGGTTTTACCACAAAAAACCTCGATGTTAGTTAGAGTGGGGTAATACTATTTAAACCCTTTTGGTTTTCTTCACCCCACCAATGTGGGACAGTTTAACAAATACCTCGTTGTAGCTGTAAATACTATCCATTCTATTGTATTTACACAAAGTCAGGGCTTGTATGTTGTTGTTTCTGTGATTTGCAGGTCCGAGAATCACAGTTCCGAGGAGTCTTCTGTGGGCAGCTTGTGGAGCGGTATCTGTGAGCTCATCCACTGCTTTGCTGGTTCAGTTGTTTAGTCCAGAGTGCGAGCCCCAAAACATAGCTACTTATGACAAGGGAAGTTGCGCTAGATTCATGAAGGTTGTATCGTCGTTCTGAGTAAGTTATGTCGGGTTTGTTAATCGTTACAGAGGAGAGGAGTATTCCATGATGGATATTTCGATTGATGTAAGATATGCGTTGAAATGGACGTAACATTTCAAGTGTCGAATTAACAAGACTAAGGGCTGGTTTGGTATTGCTGTGCTTTGAAAAAAAAGCTGTTGTGAGAATAAGCGGCTGTGCTGTGAGAATAAGCGGCTGTGAAATAAATCTGCAGAGTGTTTGGTAAACTTTTTTGTAAAAGTGCTTTTGGAAAAAAAAAAACAGTCTAATAGTGGGTATTTTCATTAAAGGAGCACTGTAGCTTCGTGTGCTTTGAAAAAAAAGCCAGTTTTCCAAAGCTGCAAATAGCTGCTTCAGCTTTTTCCTTTGATTTCAGCTTATTCTCACAGCAGCTTCCAAAATAAGCTTTTTTTTTTTCAGTTTACCAAACACCTAAAACCCTCACAGCTTTTTTTCATGGGTGTTTTTTTTTTTAAGCACCTCACTCCCAAACCACCCCTAAGAATCCTGCTTTTGTTGCATAAAAGTTTATTGTCTGTCGTATATGATGCGTCTGAGGAGCAATTTCTCTTAGCAGGAGCCCTTGAATCTCCTGAATTTCGGACCTTGTCCATTTTTCTCTGAACTTTCAATTTATGCTAATATTCCCCCAATAGTCAAGTCTTTCATAATTTTTGTCATTTCATCCTGTACATTATGCCTGGCGAACTTATTCACATCAATTTATATAAAAGTTTATCAAATATTCAAACATTGTTTTTTTTGTTAAAAGCACTTTTACTTAAATAAGTACTGGTTTAGTACTGATGTGCTTTTATAAAAAATTGGGTATAAAAAAAAGCTGAGCTCAAAAAAATGTTTAGTAAACAATTAAAACAGCTTATTTTTACAGTTTTGGGTGAAAAAAAAAGCTGAAAACATGAAGCAGCAAAAAAAACTTATTCGCA